ATACAATCTGAATAGTAAAACACCTTTAATAACAGTAGAGGAAATATTAGGAAAATGATGTTTATCTCTTTTTATTTACATGTTTATCGGTTAATATGACAGCATCAGATGATTTTACGGAAAACCACCCGGTAACAGTCCGTTAGTAGGCGATCACTAAGGGCATTAAAGTCTTTCAATAAATCAAATCCTCTTTACAATGTAAAAAACAAAGAATAAAAAACCGAGACCGTCGCCGAATTCCGCTGTGCTCCACCGCCATGTGATCCTTCTGAAATCCTTCTCTCTGTTTTCAATTTCCTTTTTTTTTTCTTTAATATTTGGTTTAAAAACGAAGTACCAACAAACCCACATCTGTATTCAATCTCCTGTTTCTTATTATCTACTTCACCGGCGAAACCAGAAACCGAAAGCCCCATTTCATCTGCTTTCTATCTTCTGCTTGAAGTTTTTTTTTTTTTTGGGGTTTAAATTTAAATGATCGTCGAATGGCGGAGTTTGTCTACAGACCCACCAAAAATCGGGGTTTCTACCTCAGGATGAGGTTGCTACACAAGAGCCGGCTGTCGCCGGAGAAGAGCACGTTCTTCAGATGCTACAAATGGGTTTTGTGGATTTCTTTGTCTCTGTATTTTTTCAGCTCCTATTTCATCAGTCACAAACCCATCCCGCTTTCTAAAATCCACCTATTGAACTCCAATTCTGTTCATCCTTCTCGGGCCTTGTTCGAATCCGTCAACCGAACCTTGCAGGAATCCGGAGCTGATCGAGGTATCCCGTTTAGTGCTTTGCATTTTCCGTTGATTGCTCTGTTTTTATCTTCGGAGTTGATTTTTTTGGCTTTTTTCCGTGGATTTACAGGGTCGTTCAAGGATTTGAAGTTGTTTGTCTATGAGCTGCCCCAGAAATACAACGAGGACTGGCTCGCCAACCAGCGGTGCAGTAGCCACCTGTTCGCCGCAGAGGTGGCCATTCACAAGGCCCTCCTCAACAGCGGCGTACGGACATTCGACCCTTACGAGGCGGATTTCTTCTTCGTCCCGGTTTATGTTTCGTGCAATTTCAGCACCGTTAACGGGTTCCCTGCCATTGGCCACGCTCGCTCTCTGTTGTCTTCGGCGATTCAGCACATCTCCTCGCAATACCTATTCTGGAATCGGTCTCAGGGCTCCGACCACGTCTTCGTCGCGTCCCACGATTACGGAGCCTGCTTCCATACCATGGTAAACTAGAAATTAATGTTGCGGAGGTTTCTTTTCGAAGTAATACTCTCTGTGGTTTTGATTTTTGTTCTTTTTTTTTTTTTCGGTGTAGGAGGACAGGGCAACCGCCGATGGGATACCGGAGTTCATGAGGAACTCGATAATATTACAGACTTTTGGTGTTGAATACAAGCACCGGTGCCAAGACGTTGAGCACGTCGTCATACCACCCTATATACCTCCCGATAGCATACGTAAAACACTGGAGAAATCTCCAGTGACCGGCCGGCGAGACATCTGGGTCTTCTTCAGAGGCAAGATGGAGGTCAACCCCAAGAACATTAGTGGAAAATTTTACAGCAAGTATTATCACAAACCCCAATTTTTTATCACGTTCAACGTTGATTTAATTCTTTATGATCCATCTCTTAATTGAAAACTAGAAGCTCATTCGCGCGTTTTTGTTGTTTATTTAGAAAGGTGAGGACGGAAATATGGAGGAGATATAACGGCGACCGGAGGTTTTACCTACACAGGCACAGATATGCCGGTTACCAGTCAGAAATCGTACGGTCCGTGTTCTGTTTGTGCCCACTGGGATGGGCCCCATGGAGCCCGAGACTAGTCGAGTCAGTCGCCTTGGGGTGCGTACCAGTGATAATAGCAGACGGAATACGCCTCCCATTCCCCTCCGCCATACGATGGGCGGAGATATCGCTCCGGGTGGCGGAGAAAGACGTGAAGAAGCTGGGGAGGATTCTGGAGCACGTGGCGGCGACGAATTTGTCAAGCATCCAACGCAACCTGTGGGACCCGGAGGTCCGGCGGACCCTGATGTTCAACGAGGAGGTGCAAGAAGGGGATGCCACATGGCAGGTAATGGAGGCCCTCTACGCCAAGCTGGACAAGTCATACCGAAGGTCAAAGGTTTCAAGCCAATAACAAAACGCCACGACGATACCTAAAATTGGAGGGGAGCATTAGTTTTGGGTTCTGTTTGGCAGTTAGCTGGGGGATGAGTAATGAGGAAATGGAGGACAGCTGGAGATTTTAAATATGAGGGAATTAGTAGGAGGAGTTAACGTGGTTTTTGAATATGAGGGATTAATAATAATAATAAAAAAAAAAGTCAGAAAACCATTGGACGGGACTGCGGAGGAGGTGGGGACCACGGAGAGGACGGTGCGGGATTGTGATTTTATTTTGTGGGAATGCGGTAAATTTTTCTTACTGGATACGTGTACATATATTGACGATGTAGTAATTTTTACTGAGGGAGGGTATGCGGTTGTTGCGAGGAAGAATCTTTTTGTAAATGGAAAGCAGAATTTTTTTAAGCAAAAAAATATACATTTAATTAGTCCATAATTTTTTGACACTAGTAGGTAAAGAGTAGGTGAAAATTTTATTTTATAATTTGATATAATATATATTTTTAGGGGAAGAGATGAATTTTTGAATTTAAGAT